GCTGAGGCCTATGTTGTGACCACACTGCAGTTCAACTCCTCCCTCTGCACAATCCAAGTACCCTGGCACTTCTGAACAAAGAAGTGACCAAAGTACCCCATTAGCTGTCACTACTGGGACTCTGACCATGCCCAAGACCAGGGAAGCAATGGCCATAGTAAATGGCTCTATAGGTGAAAATTGAGTGATTTAACCACTTGGGGACAGCAGTAAGAACACTGGTTCTGAGTCTGCAGCCCCTTGTCCCTTTTTAAAATTTTTAAATTATGTTTATTGGGGCAGCATCAGTTAATAACATTACAGGTATACAATCCTAAAATACAATATCTGTATATTGCATTGTGTGCTCAGCACTGTCTAGTCTCCTTCCCTCACCATATATTTGACCCCTTTCCCCTCTTCCCCCTCCCCGACCCCCCTCCTTTCCCTCCAGTGACCATCATACTGTGTGACTGACATACAAAAAGTTGTACATGTTTCATATGAACAACTGGATGCGTTTGGAGATAAGTATACACCTGTGAAACCATCACCACAATCTGTGGCATCACCTCCAACTCTCCTCCCACTCTATTATTTTTTGTGATAAGAACACTTAACATACTCTGTTAGCAAAATTTTAGGTACACAGTACAGTACTGTTAACTACAGGCATTATGCTGTACGGTACATCTCTAGGATCCATCACCTCGCCTAACTGAAACTCTGTACCCTTGGACAAATACCGCCCCCATTTCCCTTCCTCAGATGAATCTGTAGGACCTCATGCTACGTGAAATAAACTGGACACAGGGAAAACATTACATGAGGAATCTAAAATAGTCAAACTCACAGAAACAGAGTAGAATGGCGGTTGCCCTTGTCCCCTGTCCTGACTCTCAGCCAAGGACAGAAAGGAAAGCCAGGCTTCCAGCAGCTATGTGGGCAGGGGCTCCACAGAGAGGCTTGATTTCCTTGTCTTAGTTCCATTACCCTCTTTACACCCTCAGTGATTTTCCTGAGGCTAATGGCAGAAGATTCCTCTGTTTTATATGGATAAACACAGACAGGCAAATAATTAAACGTGCCTGGACCCTCACCTTTGAACTTCCATTCCTTGTCCCTAACCTCCTGGAAGCTGACCTCCAGGCCACACACATTTTCAAATCAGTAGAGCAGGTGCTTTAAATTGATAACAAAACACCCCCCGCCCAAAGCCCCAGGTCAGTATTCTTCATGATTTTTAGACTCTGTAATTCCTTTCACTAGTCATATCTCAACCGCACCCCCATGGAAAACGTTTTTAATCATTCTGCCACTTTCGCATTACAAAAATGCTATTAAGTATACCTCCTTGACATGGTGTGTATTTTGAATACTGCACTATAAGTTCATTCTTAATTAGTTTCCAACAACATTCATTACGAGAATAGCTTTGGCATTTTCCCATTTAATTAATGCTACATGCTGTTTAATTTACTTAATTACATATGAAAGTATGTATGATCTATGGACGAGTAATTCATAACGATGTCGCATGCCTGGTCAGGACACTGGAGGGCATCAAACATGTAGACCAAAGTTTAACTGTGTGCTGTTGCTTTAAACACTGCTTTCAAGATTTACTGTTTAACCTTCAAAAAGTCAGCTCATTCGTTTTTAGAACTTTTACATATGTTTCCAAATGAGGAAATAAAAGATAAGGTTACAAATAGCGGTTTACAAGCATATTCCTACAGTTATCACAGTGCTGGGTTTAGATGCTTGGTTCCTTCAAAGGTAAAAGGCCAAATTAGCTATAATCATGCCAATATTTTTCCTTTGCCCACTGACTTTTAAATGACTAAGAGCAACTCAGTGTTGAAAAAATTTGATTGAATGAATGTCCAATCTGGTGAGATTTGGTGAAGATCGCTAAGAGGTACATTTGCAGAATGACCGTGCATCCTGCCTCTCCCAGTTCATTCAACCCAGCTTTACATTAAGCAACTCGTGCTAGATCAGTCCCACTGCCCCTCCAGGTCCACTCTCCACCTTCCTCTATCCCATGTCCTGTTCTAAAAGTGACTTTTATGGATCGCCTCAACAGTGTCCCTTGTGATCTGGTTTCTGCTGGATATGACCACGAGAGAGCGAAGGGGACTGGAGCTGGGATATTTACTCCCGGCTGGCAGGTCACCTCGGGCTGGGTAAGTGTCACAAGCCCTGTGAAAGCGCTCTGTCCCTCTCCTCGCAGCTTCAGACTTCACGTGCCCATGGCTCCCTGCTGTTCTGGCCTCAGATTTCTTCATCGGGCCTTTGGGGGTGTCTACACTCTAGTCACACATTTTAAATATCCTCTTTATTAAACACTCGTCAAACTACATAATCTGAGTGTGCGTGTACCACCTCCTTTCTGCCCTGACCCTGACTCTGACATAGTATAGGGCTAGGAATGAAAATAAAGTAAAACGATGTAATGGTCATAAACATGGCAGCCTGTGATATTCAGCAAGTGTTAAAGCAACTGAGCATTGGAATCATGAGCTCTCTCATTGGATATCCATTAAATGCCTTACGCATGCAGCCAAACACATATTCAAGCTCAAGAGAAAAATAAGTTCAAATATTTACTTTATTGCTGATTTTTAAAGTAGAAATTGAAACCCCAAATGTTCTTTAACCATACACAGTCCCTAATGACCCCAAAAGCTTGCAAACCACCAGCTGGAAAAAAGTTTTGCTAAGTAAGATGATTATGTTTCACCCCATCCCAATGGGAAAATTATGGAATAATATGTATATGGAGTGTGAGTGTGTGTGTGTCTATGTATGGGAAATGTTTTTTAAATCTCTGGATATGTAAGAATGTACAATTCTACCAATAAAAATTATACATAGCACCAAAGTTTGAAATAAATTTTCAATCACTTCACCTGTAAATGGAAGTAGAGCTACTAGCTTCCCTCTAGTCCAGGCTAGAAGCCAGGATCCAAAGAAGGGTTATTCATTATGCACCAAGGAGACGCAGGTCTAAGTCCCCTGCCGTGACTGCTCTAGTCTCTGGGTTATACACACAGGAGATGAATGTAACAGTACTAGATTAGGGGGACATGATATGAGGAGTTGGGATCGCTGACTTCCCCAGGGACAGCTGGGCACACTCCAAGAGGGCCACTTGAGAGCACTGGGCAGGAAAGGAGACATGGTCACGGCAACTCAGGGGCCCGGGGAGCCCCGTTCTCATTCAGGTGACGGTGCCAACAGAAGACAAAGCCAGAAAAGGGAGTATAACATGACACTAGGAATGCTCGTCATAAAATACGTTTATTGATTTTCTTTTAATGAAATTCCTCCACCTCTGTTACAGCCTGAAATTTGTTGAGGTGGTGCCAGTGGCTAGGCTGTCCAGAGGAGGTATTTCTCCAAAGTGAAGACCCTCTTCACCCAGATCCTTCCTACCCTTCACGTCTCCTATCTCAAAACTGACTGTGCCTTCTGTTTTTTCTTACACACCCACCCACACACCCATACACACACACACACACACACACAATTTTTGAAGGAAAGTTGCAGACAGTCTACAATCCACTAAGTAAGAGTGAACCCACAAGCCCCAAGGCCACACCAGAGAGGAAAGGGGCAGATGGACCCCAGGAAGGACGTTCACAAGAGTGGAGGGCTGGCCTCCTTTTCTGAGCCGTGTGAAAAGCTGGTAAGAATCAGTCTACGCCCTGCTTCCTCTTCTTTTTACCTCCTTCACCTTTCAAACTACTTCATCTGTCCACTGGGAGTCACTGGGTTAAACTGGAGAAGATACTACTAGTTATAACGGAGGCCCATCGCCTTGAGGGAAAGGTCTGCGTGGCCTTCCAAAGCGGAGCATGGTAACCAGTGGCTACAGCATAAGGTTTTCTTTCAAGGCCCTGTGCAAACAGCACCACTAATGAAGCTCTTTCCAAGCTGTGGCCTATATCCCTCTATTGCCAAAAATGCCAAACTGGTCAGCAAGCCAGAGCTTGACCCAAAGCATAAAGAAACAACCTGGGGCCCGGCCAGCGTGGCTCAGAGGCTGAGCATCGACCTAGGATCCAGGAGATGGCGGTTCGATTCCCGGTCAGGGCACATGCCCGGGTTGAGGGCTTGATCCCCAGCGGGGCCGTGCAGGAGGCAGCCAGTTCTCATCATTGATGTTTCTCTCTCTCTCTCTCCCCCTCTCCCTTCCTCTCTCTGAAATCAAAATATATTTTTTAAAAGAAACAAGTTGGGAATTGTTCATTGGTGAGGAATATATTCTCCCAAATTATATTGCTCTCTACTAAATCAAAAGCCCTTTTACTGAGTCCAGCTTATTACTGATGTCATTTGGAGGGGAAAAATCTTTGTAGTGTGATTCACCACAAGTTTAACCTTCCCAGATGGGCCTTTTATTCCTAAAATGGATTTTTGTACATTGAGAGAAAAAAATCCATAACCCAAATCTGTTGGGGTCAATAACATGTAGAATCCATGGAGTTCCACAGCACGCCGGTCATACGAAGAGAGACAGTAGACGTAAACAACACATATGAGAAGGCCATCTGTTTCCAGGAACAGGATAATATCCTAAGGGAATCAACACATTTCTTGCTTCCGTGCTGTGCTTCTGCTCAACCACAATAATATATCAACAAAAGCACTGTTATTCAACACCCCATTGATTTTCTGTTGCTGATCAAAGAAGTACGGCGGGCTGGCAGTCCTCAGAAGGGGGTTTTAACCAAATAGGAAGTGTTTCTGAAACTATCAACAATGAAATTCACCACAAAAGTACACCTATTTCTCTTAAAATGTGCTAATTCTTTGCATTAAGACCTCTGCCTCTTGCAGTGATTTCTAGAACTCAAAGGCCTCCTAAGGAAAGGGGACTTGGAGAAACAAGGCCTTTTGGAGAGGAAGGGACACACGGAGCACCGGATTCGGGTGACGGAACTCATCTGCCTCGGGTGCTGGCGAAGGCCTGAGCAGCCTCCTGCGGTGGCCGTGGGTACTGGGCCCCTTACCTTACCACACTGCTTACATTTTCCCTCCTGCCGACGCCTGTGCACCCAGTGATGACGCACAAAATTCTGTGGAAAAACAAAATACAATGAATCTATTTAAATTTGCAAAACCCAATATCAGTTGTTTTTTTTGTTTTAAGAATTCAGGTTTCCCTAAACCATCCTCTAAGACCGCATTAACACAAAAACAAGTATGTGTCTGTGTGATAGGCCTAACAAACATGAATCCACTTAGAAAAATGAAGCTAGTTCTCCTCCCCAGCCACTCGTCATGTCCCTCCTCACATCTTCCTGCTGACAAACGGCCACACTGGGTGGCTGTCACTCTGCTTCCCCCTAGTAAAACCCTGTGCGGAGCGGTGAGCATGCCACAGGACCTTGGGCTGGGAGGCAACTGAGGCCAAAGAAGTATCCTCAGAGGAGGGAAAAGGTGAAGGAGACCAGGAAAAACAGCAATACCCAGTATTTTTTAACAAAGATGCAGTTAATCTTTCTTTATGTGCCAGGCAGGCACCACACTAAACATCTGAGCTAGAAAGCACTTTAAAAAATTAAATTCTCCAGCAGAGCTCCTGATTCAGGACATAGATGGTGGGAATCTGCTACTCGTGAAAGCGAAGGAAGAGAAGAGCTGAAGGGAAGAGATGACAAGGACAAGAGGTGAGGGCACGCCGTGAGTTTTTGCAATGACATTGAGTTAAACTGTCCTTGGGACTCTGAACTAGATCAGCTTTCAAGGTCTATTCTTGTCTTGGGCTGCAGAAGACAGAGAAAGTCCCTTGCCTCCCAAATAGATCATCGCTTCTGGGGCAGCGGGGTCAAGGAGCGCCCATCTGCATTGCTCTTTAGGATACAGCGTAAGAAAGTTGTCCTCAGGCCTAATTAATGGTGCATGTGAACCCTAAGAACTTATATAATTCATTCCCCTTAGGCCAATACACCTAAAATACTTGCGAATGTTTTTTTTCTTCTGCCCTTTTCTGGGAAAACATNGTGCATGTGAACCCTAAGAACTTATATAATTCATTCCCCTTAGGCCAATAAACCTAAAATACTTGCGAATTTTTTTTTCTTCTGCCCTTTTCTGGGAAAACATACTCTGCCTGAGATTAGCGTGTCTATTGATTGTCAGACCACAGTCTACGCTTTCCCTTTAAAAGGCCTTTTAATGTAGATTCGGTCATTCAGCAAACGCTAAGTACCTACTGTCTGCCAAGCCCTGTTCTAAGCACAGAGGAACCCAGAAAATAGATCATTGTTGAGGAAAAATAAGTTATACCGAGGCATAAAATTCAGAGTGACAACAACACCCCTAAAAAGCATTAACATTATCAGTTCCAAAATGCCACCTCTGTTTCTCTATGTAATGTCAAATCAATTTAAATTAAAACTAAACAAAGAACCTGGAGGAGTAATGGCCTTTTAACTATAATAAGCAGCAAAGACGTATAATGGTCCCACTAATTAGTCTCATTTTTGTCTTGCTTTTCCCACAGCTGCAGTTTAATAAAACACAAACATAATTCATATATAAATATATTCTCAGAAAGAAGCTAATAATAATAGCTAGCATTTGTTGAGAACTGTGTGCCAAGTACTTTTTAAAAATATTTCACATGATAATTCTTTTTATTTTCATGAATTCAGCAGAGGTGTTGTTGAGCCGGTATGTGCCAGTGAAATCCTACGAGCTGTTAAAACGCTGAAACGTGTCTATATTGGTGGGTAGGCTGCAATTTAGTGCCCCTAGCAGCCCCCAGCTCCTCCTCACTGCCAGAGCACCCCACCCCACCCCCCAACACTGCAGACCATTTCTAATTCCTGATTATTAAGCAACTAAAATGTTAATATTTTGCACAGCAGGTCTCCAGGCTTCAATCCCAATGAGCTCTCTTTTGAAAACAAATCATGCTGCCTGAGCAATGCCACTGGGTCAGAGCAAACTCAGAAGTCTGGGCTGCGCCCAGTGTGGTTGTCCGTGGAAGCTTAAACGTCACTATGGACAGCTCTGGGTCCCATAACTGTCGGGACGGTGGCAGCAAGCCCAGGAACTGGTCCAGTTATCAGCATCCACAGCATCGGTTCGTGCAAACACGCTCTGGGGGACGACAGGACCGAACGTGCCACCCCTGCTTCACAGCAGGCCTCTCGGGCTTCCCCCTGCTCGGGCGAGAACGGTAGCCCCTGCCTGCGGAAGGGTAACGGCTGGGGAGACCAGGGCCAGCTGCCAACTGCACTACATCCTAATGCACATTATTGCAGGGCACGTGCCCGGAGAGTCTCGCCCGGGTTATCATGACCATCCTAACCCCAGAGATGAGGAAACCAGGGCAGAGCAGTCACCTAGCACGTAAGGGCCAGGGCCAGGGCCAGGCATCAGTCCCGGGCAGGCTGGCCCAGGNGTCGGTCCCGGGCAGGCTGGCCCAGAGCCCGTGCTGAAGCAGTGTCACTGTGCCTGTCCTCTGCTCCCAAAGATCGGGTTCAAGCTCCTTCAGTAAATGACTTGGACGACAGTCAGTAGTGGAAAAGTTGAATACATTAAAATGTCAGAGGTTCTATTATAAGGGATACAGAATTGTATTATAATTGCTGTTAGTTCAGCAGAAACTAGGGAGAGTGAACAATATCATTGATGGTAAGAGAAATTCTCTCCTTGTTGAGATTAGAAATCACCTAATGACTATCAACTGAAGGAAGAAAACACTGGAAGAATTTGACAATCACTCATCTGAAATCATGGCTAACTCATGGGAACACTGAGCTGGTGACAGCTCTAATCAAAATATTAGACCAATTATTTCCATAAATCAACAATTATTTGGAAATTATATGACTGACTTATCTGTGTGGCAATATGTATGTTGTTTGTTAAGCAGATATATAATACCACGTAGTTTAGCTTACTTAGGGAATAAAAGAGAACATTTTAAATTATTTAAGTATTAATATATAACTGCAACTTATTAAATATTTTTAATATCATCCTTCCTAGGAAGTAGGTAGGAAACTATAAATAACTAAGACACAGTAAAATAAAGTAACTTAAACAAAAGCACTGGAAGAGATCATACCAGTTACTATACTAAATATATCATGTAACACACTATATATATGAAAGAAGAAACTAAGTAACTGCCCCCAATCTGTAGCTCTATAATTTGAGATGTCAACATGCTTCTAGTCAGAGGTTCTCTTAGACCTAATATAAAATTATCCTACCACCAATTAAACATAGTTTGAACAAAGTAAACATCCAGTAAATATGCTTTTAATTGAATGGAATTCTTAACCTCATTTCTTTGGCAATTAAATCATGTAATTACTACTTTGAAGGATCACCATTTGCCTTTATCACTTAGAAAAAATATTCTACAGAATCACTGCTATTTTCTATTCCTTATTTCCCAAGAATTTTAATTTTCACGCTATTCCTTTTTGACAATTATTTATATCTTCTAAATTACTGAACTGAAATTAGATGCAGAACCCTTCCACTGCAAATATGAGTGTTGACACAATGTTAGGAAGACAGCAAAGTAAGACTTCAGACACTATAACCTCTTTTTATTGTTCATCAATAATCTCTGAATTATTCACATACTGTCTTTAAATACTGGGTAAAGAAAGGGCTATTACTTATGGGTGTTAAAATCTCAGTGACACAATATTTCAGGGTTTATATTCAATATTGTTAGCAGAAATGCATAACATAATTGCTCAGTTATTTTCAAACAGACAGTTCAATTACTAATATTATTCACAGAGCCCTTGGAAAGATCTTAAAATTATAACCCACTCCATAAAGTTTATGTCTAGAAAAACTGAGGTTCATAAAAATTCCACTTAAAGGTGTCCAACCAAAGTCCATGAAAAAATTTCCATGTCATATACTCCATAAGGGCAGGGTACAGTGATTATCAATCCCTGCTCTGGATCCCTGCTCTGGGTCCCTGCTCTGGATCCCAGCTCTGGGTCCCTGCTCTGGATCCCAGCTCTGGAGACACCACAGAGGGCAAAAGATTCAGAGGTGTCATTTGAACCCAGGTCAGACAAATTCTGAAGTGGCTGTTCTTTCATTTACATTCAGTAAACTACCTAAAGTCTCTTAATTAAGAACCTCAAATGGGTCATAGTGTCCCATAAGTTTCATCTTCACATTGTCCTCTTCGACCAAGAGTTTGTGAACATTCTGGGGAGAAACGGATACCTTTCTAAATGCATTCAGTCAACAGATACTCGTTGACCACAGCCTCCGTGTCCTGGCATGGTGAGTTTGGGACACAGTCCATGAGTGACCTTCCAAAGCTTATACTACAGAAAGATGACAGTTAACAAGCAAACAAGTAATACATATAAATCCTTGTGACAGACAAAGTGCTCTGAACGGGGCAGAACAAGGTGCCCTGATAAAGAGCAGTGTGCGACCTCTACAGAGGTGCTCATTAAGGAAGACCTCTAAGGAGACGATATTGGAGCTGAGGCCTAACTATAAGACAGCTGGCCATGCAAAGATTTCCAGTACAGCAATGGCATAAACAAGTGTCTGAAGGTGGGGACTTTATGTTCCTCAGAACTGAGAGGAAGCCGTGCAGAGATGAGTGTGCGTGGAAAGAGAGGCTGAGGCCAGACCGTGCAGGATTTTTCATACCAAGACAAGGGGTTTGGTTTTGCTCAAGGTGCTATGAAAACCATTGGAGGATTTTAAGCTGGAAATGGTGTAATCCAATTTTCCTTTTAAATAATCGCTCCCTTAAATCATGGTAGATGGAAGGAGAAAATTAAGGAATTACGGAGAAGCGATTGCAGTGGTCAAAAGTGAGCTATCACGGTGCCTGAGTCTAAGGCACTGGCAACAGAAATGGAGGGAAAGAGATTGTTTGAAATACATTTCATAAATAAAATTGATAGAGCTGGCAAATAAATTAGATGTGGTGAGTCCATGAAAGAAGAAATCAGTATGAGCAGTTGTCTCTACTGAAGAGCTGGATCAATAGCCATCTCATTTTTGGAGGCATAAAAGAATTGAAGAAAAATCGTTTTTAAGATGATGGCAGCGAGCTTAGCTTTTCACACATTATATTTGAGATGACTGTGATATGTTCAGTGGGCATGTCAAAGGGAACACCAAGAAGTGTCGAGCAGACATTCGAAGCCAGGAACTGTCAGCTCAGGCATGACACTTAAAGTCCTGAGACTGGATGAGCTCTTCCAACAGGAGTGGGCGGAGAGAAAGCATGGCCAAGTACCAACCCAAGTGCCAAGGAATGCTCAGAAACCAGGGGGCTGAGCAGTGACAGGGAGTGCAAAGGGCCACCCAGCGAAACAGAGGACAATTAGGAAAGATGTCAAGGCGGGAGAGCCTTTTAGAAAGAATGGAAGGTTTGAGAATTTTGAATACATTTGAAAGACTGAATGACAAAAACACAGAAAAATATCTGGTGGATTTGGCACCCAGGAGATGCTGGCAACATTAAAAAAGCAGTTTCAGTTGAATGGATAAATTGAAGACCAGGTCAGAAGATGTTAAAGTGACAGGAGGGGACACACTGTTTTTATATAACACACTTTCTGGAAGTTTAGCCGTAAAGACAACTGAGCATCAGAGCCACTGTTAAGACCCAGTTGGTGATTAAGGAATATTTTCATGTGTTTGTTTTTCTTAAGATGGGAGTTATTAAAGCATGTGTGCGCTGGTGGAAAAGACTTGCATTAGAAAATTGCACATAAGATAACAATGACCTATCCAGAAAGAGAAAGAAATTATAGAACAGAGAGCTAAAGGTGAACACATGGATCCCCCAGTTGCTAATCCATAAACTTTACCTTAAAAACACAACTATTCGTACGTGAAATTTCTCCGTCACTTGAGCTGGCACCCAGTTACCTCCTAGCCAACGCTCCAGTGCGCTTGGGTGGCACAACTCCATCATTTCCCTGAGACTTTCCTCACCCTGCATATGAGCGTGGCCTTCCTATTGCTGACAGAATGGTCAGCAGTGGGAGAGGAGGGCTGCTGGGGACGCCTGCTTTTCCTCTCTCTGCAACCTCACTCCCAGCCTATTTTCTTTCCAGGTTTTCTCCCCATCTCTGTCTTAGTCGGTGACGGTGAGACCATTTTTGTTCCCAGTGTCTTTTTTCATTAACTGACATTAAAAAGTCAGTCATCATCTCTGTTCCTATTGTACCCATTCCCCTGTTCTCATAGCTCCAAGCCCTGTCTGTTTATGCTGACAACTCACAAATGTCTCACTTCGAGCCCAGTCGTCCTCAGAAGCTCCCAGCTCACTCACTTCCTGCGTGGCTTTGGACTGGGCATCTCCAGCTGGGGGCCTCACGGACGCCTCAAACTGAGAGGTCGACAACCAACCTTGTCATGTACCCACCCCATCCTCAAATCAACTCATTTTCCAAAATCTAATTGTAGTGTTTTCCAGAACACAAGCCTGGCCTTTGATGTCCAAAATCCAACCATTTACTACATCCGGTCAATTTATTTTCCTCCAAATTCGTTATCTACCTGCTTTTAAAATTCCAGTTATACTCTTACTTTAGATCCCCGTTATTTCTTGCCTGGATGACTAAAATAGCTCATTAAATTTTCTCCATGCCTCCAATATTGCTACTCTTGAACTCCATGGGATCCCCTCCACACTGAAGCCAGAAAAATGTACATTGTGCTTAAAATAGTTTAACGCCTCCCTCCCCCAAACACTGCGGTGACAAAACACTCAACAAGTAGCCTGGCTTACAAGAGCCTCCGGAGTCCAGGCCCTGCTCGTCTCCGCGATCTCCACCTCACTCCTTACGCTCCCTCTCACGCGCTTGTGCGGATACATCCTTTCTGTCCAGGAGGCCCTCGCTCACCTCCTAACTAGCCCACCTTCGCTTAGGTAACTCCTTTGAGTCTCAGTTTAGCTGCCACCTCTTCCAGGAAGCCCTTTCTGTGACCTCTCTCTCCTCTTTGTCACTGCACAGAGCTAGTTTGAGAAGTGCATCAGCCAGGGAGGTTTCCAAGGGGGTCAATATATAGGTGGAACTAAAAGTAATCTCAGTGGGATGGGAAAAGTTTACTTTCCAAAAATTATATTTACCACACTTCCTGAGATGCTAACAGCTAGGCAGGCTAATCGATGCTCTAAGGAGGTGGGTTCTGTTCACTGCAGGCTGGTTTTGCCGAGGGGAAGTGCAATTCGGGCCTGGAGCTACAGGATCCCGGATCACACAGGAGGGCTGACTACCTGTAGCAACACTCTTGTCTCCTCTAACTGCACACACTGCTCCATTGCCCCCTAAATAAAAACTGAACAAACATAGCTGAGCGGGGCTCCCATCCTGCCCTCATCTCTGCTTACCACTAACACGCAGCACTGCTCTTCTCTTTAATTTCCTATTTAACTGTGTGTCTCCACTGCCAGATGGTCAGGTCAGGGACTGCGCCCTGGATGTAGTTATATCTGTGTATCTCTATCTATCTATCTATCTCTCTATCTATCTCTCTATCTATCTCTCTATCTCTCTATCTATCTATCTATCTATCTATCTATCTATCTATCTAATCTATCATCACCTATCTACATATCTACTGGATTACTAAAATAGCTCTACTTACTCACTTAACAGACAAAAACATTGAGATTTAGAAAGATTAGGTGAGATGCTCGAAATGACCGATTTAGGAACTAGACAGTCTGACTCCAGTCTTTGTAGGAATTCTCAGTAACTATGCTGCCCCGGAACAGCTTCTACCCACTCAAAATGGAAAGATCGAATTAAAACAGACCTAAAGACAATAAAATGCCATTGCTTTCTCATCTCTTCAATTCTACCACTGCACCCTCCCCTACTCTCAGGTCGATTCAGTAAGACCTCAGCTCCCGTACACACTGCGAGAAGGATTAAGGGCAGTCAGTATATACACTCGGAAGAGAGCTGGGGATTTTATTGACTGAATCTGTTGATTCAGTCAATAAAAAGCTGATGTGAAATGAAGGGGAGACACTTTATACTTTAATCCCTGGTGAACATCCCTGGTGAAATCCAATGAGCCAGTGGGAAACTGAAGCTGGTATTTGACATAGAGCTCTGAAATACTCACTTCTCTTGGCGACCTTGAGCCCCCTTCTCGAAATGTTGGTTTACATCTGAAATTAATCTGTCATTTAAAAAGAGAAGTGTATTAAATTAGGGATAAGCGTCAGACTGGAATGAGTTACCTGAATAAACCAACAATGACAGATATTGAGCCTACAAAACAAAACCCCCAAAGAATGACGAAGTTTAACAGTAGTCTTAGCCTTTTGAAATCGTCACCTTAGATAATCTACAGAAATCCCAAATGATTCTATACCTCCAGCCACGTCTCTTCAACCTCATCGATGGAGCCAACGTACCTTTAAACAATAATGCTCTTACACTGTAAACTTGAGAAACTGAGACAATAAAGAGTCAGAGGAAATCAGCCACTGTGCAATATTTACATATTTATGTAAGTCGCATGGAAATCATTATTCATATTTACATGTTTATGTAAGTAACATGTAAATCTATGTGGTATTTACATAGCTAGGTGGTGGTTACATAATTGTGCTATAATCTAAATATCAGTGCACTTTATAGTATGATATTCCTTAAATTTTTTTTCAAAAAAAGAGCGGGGCTTACAATACAAAGCTGAAATCACTCATCTGTGCTTCAGATTTTAAAAGTAGGAAAATACAAACTTTGGAAATTTTGCATATGATGATGATTCACACACAGGAAAAAGATTATTATTTATTTAAGTATTCAGCGCTGCCTTTCTTTGAGACAGGGAGGTCTCCTGGTCATTTACATTTTCTTTAGCTACATGGTAAGGTGAAAGGAATGTAGAAATGAAGGAGGGGGTAAATGGGGTTGGGACATGAGATGAAATATTCAGTAGTCATTCCCACAAAGGATCAGCTGACAACAACTGGTAATGTGCCTGTAAAAGTCAATGGATGTCGCAGCAGCAGACTAAAATAATTCAACACATTACCCATGGCTGACAATGCACAGAGGCTCACACGTGGAAATGGAGCAGGGGGCACGAGAGAGGGAGGGCAGCAGGCAGTTCTCTATTAGAGCCGTCCCCTCCCTCCAGATGACAGATGCATGGACTACACAGACGCCACTGATTCTGGAGGAAAGACACCAGTGAATGTCACTTCCAGCCCCATCCACGCGTTAATGCTGTGAGAGCAGGAACATCACAAAGAAAGGAGCTCAGAGCTGCCCTCTGGCCTGCCTCTCTCTCCCTTGCAGCCCCTTTGAGAAGTAAACTCACAGCGGTCAGATGTCTCTAAACAACAATTTTGAAGAGCTTATAAATTTTTTTCCTTAAGAGAAAACATCTGGTGGGAAAATCTATGGGTGAATAGCAGTGCTTTGCTGTTGTGAAGATCAGGGCATACCAGGCTTCTCTCTCTAACCTTATATTCCTTCTCCCAAGGGTCAGCACAAAATGAGATCAAATTAGACCAGCAAACAACAGAGTGAATGAAGCTGAAGCACTGTCTTTCCACTGACAATCTGGTAATGATGTTGGACTTCCAGTTTCTTAAAAGGGCGTTGTTTCCAAAAAGTTGGAAATAGAAATTGACACCCGGTCTTGGAGGTCCAAACACTTGCAAGGTAGAAAAATGTGCAGCAGGTGGCGCTGTCTCACCTTTTCTAGCTGTTCGATGCAGGCGGTGTGGACGACAATTTTACAGACCGCACACTTCCTCCGGAGGGCCGATTTCTGCAACATTCAATTCAAAATACAAGAAGAAACATTAACACTCTGTTCTAAAGAAGCCCTTGATAGTAAAAAGAATATATATAAATAAAGCAAACATTGCAATTGTTTGTATTACTAAGCCAATTTAAATTTTCATCTTAACCAATACTATGACAAACTTCATCAACAATGCTTTGACCCACCAAGTAGCTCTATATCCCCATGACTTAGGGTGGCCTAGGTTTTCTCTTCAAGATATTATAATTATATCATCTGCTGTATATTGAATATATAATACAAACCAGGCTCTTTACACTTTCACAACCTAAAAATGTAGGCAATATTTTCTTTCTTTTTTCTTACATTTTTTTACTCTAGCACTTAAGAAGCAAGACCAACCAACATTTCGAGTAGGGGTAATTTCAAAACAAGCATCTTCCCCTACTGCCCAAAAGTCTGCATTTCAAGGGATCAATCAATTCCGGCTTCTATACCAGGAACAAATCTATACTGAGCTACTTGGGTTTGGGCCCCGAATCTTCAGGAAAGCAAGGAGATAAGTCTAACTTTTATAGCAAATAATAATAACAGTAACAGTCACAAAGCAGCAACGGCAGTTTACATGGACTTAGTACTTGCTACCTGCTATGGGCTCTTATAAACACTTCACAAATAGTAATTCTTTTAATCCTTACAACCCTAAGAAATAGGTACTGTTCTTACTCCCATCTGACAGATGAGAAAACTGAGGCACCATAAGTGATATGCCCGGGGTCACGTAATTAGGGACAAAGAGCCAGGCAGTCTGACTACAGAGCTCATGCTTATAAGCATTACACAACATGGCCTGACAGTCAGTACCAGTTTAAATTCACACTAAAAGTACTTCTTGAGGCATATGTTTTCTTTAACAATACAAAACAAGCCGCAGAGAGAGAGAGAAATGGATGGAATCCGATTCACTCCCACCAGTGCCATGTGAAGTCTACGCCAGGCATGCTCACGCCCCTCTCCAGAGCACAGGCCAGAAGGCAGCTCTGCATAGATAATTCTGGGGTTTGAGCACTGAAAGAAGCTACACTGCTGAAAAGGGTCTTGGCTCTAGTACTAAAAAAAAAAAGTGGGGGGTCGGACAAGAATAGTAATAACAGCAGTAGCAGCCTCACTCACGGCAACAGTAATAAAATTCGAGTTTGCAAATTTTCATGAGCGGGGTGCCTGTAAGCAAATGATGGCCGCTCTCCTGTTTCCTCTGGCTCCCCTGGGGGGGGG